AAAGTTAGAGTATATATTTATTTCTACTAACTTCAAGAGTAATATATATAACTAACATAAATATTTCTTTAAAGGTATTGATAATATTCAAGTTTTATAAAGAGATAAATAAAGAACCATTTGAACTTGCTTTAGTCTGCTAGTATGAGAGAGATAGTGAATTATGAGGGTATCTAAAATTAATAATGTTTAAATACTATAGTTATATACTATTAGAGAGCATAGATAGAACCGTTCATATAGTTCCAAGATTTAATAAAATGAATGAATATCTAGTAAACTGCTTTATATTCTAAATTAGTATGCACTAAATAATTTAAAGTATATATTTTATAATTATTATACGTAGTATATTAATATAAATATAAATATATATGTATAATTATGTATGATATGTAATGATAGATATCAATAATCACACATGAGTGATAAAATTAGAAATGATAATATTTAATATATATTTGTATATATTGATTATTTACACATATCAAATTTTATCAATATATAAGATATATATCGATAGTTATCTATATATCGATATTTATCGCTATATATTGATTATTATCTATATATTGATATATATCAATAATTGATATAAATTAATATATATCTATTTTATTGATTTATATTAATTGGTTTTAATCAATATATATCAATAAATCGTTATATATTAATATATCTATATCTATATCTATAATCTATAACTATATACTAAAAAATTTGTGTGTAATGATAATGTTTAGATTACCCTGTATATAGTATGTAATGATAATGTTTAGAATAGCAATATAAATAATTTTATTAAATTGTATTACTTAACCTTATGCTACTTTTATTGGCCATATTATTATAATTAGATCATACGTTTTTTATCACTTTTCGCATTTGTATTTCATGAATTACAATCAGATTCTTTACTATATGCGTTTAATAATATATTCACATTTTACTTTTTTTTATTGATTTTTATTCTTATTTTTATATTCTTAACTTTTGTACTTATTTATTATTATCTTTTCTTTCACTTTTGTTCATCTCCGCAGATTTTTGGTAAAAAAAAAATAATATTTTATTGATATTTGTCATTTTTTTTACCACCAATTCAATTTTCATAACATCTTATCTTAAATTTTCCATTAGAATTATTTATCTCAGCATATTTTCTTAAAATATAATTTGCAGATAGGAGATTTGCGCAATAATAATCAGGTACAGAATTTTTTCATACTTGGTTAGGGACAGTATTAGAAAATCAGAGTGAGTAAAATTTACATAGTAAAATTGCCTACCTAAAACTTTTTATTAGAGTATTAAAAAGTATTTCTTATACTGATTTTTAAGAAATAATGATGTTTGACAAAACAGGTATTTGTTTTGAATTTTCTTGATCGCTTTAAATTACACCTGATCTTGAAATCTGATTCATAGTTCAGAAAATTTGTGCTACAACCTTGTTCGATACTATATTATGGCATTACAGAATTACAGCAAATATTACAGCATGTTGTTGCCATATTGAATTACTAAATTATTGCGATTTGAAAAATTCTGGATACAATCACAATCGCATATTAATAACAATTCTATTGTTATTAATATACGATTGTTAGATAATGATCAATCAATAGGATTCAGAATTTTGCAAATCGCAATAATTCTATCGCCACTATACTAGTAAGTTATTTTAATAGAATGTTAGTTGGTGTCGAATTTAATTTTAATTATTATATTTATAGCTATTTTTATAATTTCTGAGATATCTAAAAAATTTGCAGACAACAATTTTGGCTAAATTTGGTAAGTTATTTATTTTAATATTGCATTACGACTATTATCATTATTCCTGGAACACCTTATGAAAAATTCACTGAATGATTATTTTACTGATTCGATAAATTATTGATTTTAGCATAGCTACTATAACATTTATCATTATAGCTATTCTTATAAATTCTAGGACAACTAATAAAAAATAGATCAGCTGAATTCGATAAATTTTTAAATTCAGTGTTATCGGATTACTGTAATCCAAATTCATTAATCTATCGAATTCAGCCAATTAATTTTTTATTAGTTGTCCTAGAATTTATGAGAACAGGTATAGCTTCAATGTTTTTGATCTAATTTAAATAAAACATTATTGAAATACTTACCAAATCCTATAACGATCTGTTTTCTAGATTTTGGAAAAACCTTTAAACAACTGTCCTAGCATTATCAATCTAAAAAATTTCATTGCCCACTTATATTTCATGTTCATGTACTACGCAAAAGAAACTCAAAAAATCAAAACAAACCAAAAAATTGTTCATAACTCAACATTTTATCTATGAACTCATTTTATATATATTACCAAGTAGTTTTTCTTGTGAAACTATAGTATGAGAAATCCTTTTTCTAACCTAAATTAATAGCAAAACCTAACTTTAATCTTAAATTCTGGGACAACTATTAAAAATTGATTAGCCAAATTCGATAAGTTTTTGAATTCGGTATTAGTAGATTACTATAATTTTGAAAATTTAATTCCAATAACACAGAATTCAAAAACTTATCGAATTCGACTGATCAATTTTTATCAATTGTCTCAGAATTTATGAGAACAACTATAATCTAGTATTACAATAATAGACTAGGAAGAATTAATGGTCTTTAATAAGTAGTTTAGATAATATTGGTTTTGTAATGAATTTGCATGATTATTAACTATAAACATTCATTTTTTATACCTACTCAGAAGGAATCTGTACTTATATACCAAATTTAGAAGAATTAATAGCCTTTGGTAAGTAGTTAAGATAATATTGTTTTGTACATCTTAGATTTGCATACTTATTAATTGTAAAACATTTATTTTTATATTTATCTCAGTAAAATTATAGCAAGTTAATAGTTGCTCTTACAGCTGTTCTCATAAATTCTAAGACAACTAATAAAAATTGATTGATAATTATTTAGTAAAATTTGGTAAGTTTTTAAATTTAGTATTATTGATATTATTGTAATACTAATATCAAATTCAAAAACTTTCTGATTTAGTCTAATAATCATTAGTCAATTTTCATCAATTATCTCAAAACTTATGAGAACAGCTGTAAATAAGGGCAAAAGTAGTAAGTTAACAAGTACTCTTAAATTTGATGTTAATTCAAAAATTATTTAATTACTTACCAAAATATTACTATTTTGCAGATTTTACATTGCATAACATTTAAAACAACAGTGTCTCACTTTTAGATCATTGATAGTTGTTATATAGTAAAGTTGCAATTTAACTATATAAGTATTTGTTCTAGAGATTAAGATATATATATTATGTAAGTTTCATTTAAATCAACTATCTTTTTATTAATGCATATTTGTATATTATAATTAAGTAAAAAAATTTAAAAAAGTTTAAAACTTGCTTCACACAATTATAATATACAAAAGTGCATTAATAAAAAAATATTCAATTTATATTAAACTTTCAGAATATATATATTTTAATCTAAACGATTTTACTTAATGCATAAATATCAATTTACATAGTAAAATTTTAACTTTATTATATAATGACTACTAATGATTTTTATCATTAAAATAAAAATTTTTTTTTAGTATTTATAATTAAAAAAAGATAAATAAACTTAAGGAATTGTTATTATATTTATAAGCTAAACTATAAATAATATGTAAAAAAATAATCGAAATATGCAAAAAAAATCAAATTATTAATAAATAAATAAATTAAAATATAAAAAATTAAAATAATTTAATTAGTAGTTATTTGATTAGTAAAATTTAAGTTTTATATTATTATTATAATTATAAATTAATGTTAATTTTATTTATAAAGAAATTAACTAATATTTATCACAAGTGATTATCACCTGTTTATTTTATATACAAGTAAATCCAAGTTATCGGTAATAGATTTGATGCAGTATATGCGAGGTAATATGCAATTCTTATTTATCTGATTTAAAGTAAAATAATGCAATTATGTTCTATTTAAGTAAATAAATAGTGTGATCTAAGAGTGATCGATCCTTTTTTCTGTTCAAACGATTATTTAAAAAATCACGTCAAGTTTCTTTTCGCTTCCCGGAATCTTTTTTATTGCGCAACAAACACCTTAGGCTTTTTGCGTATAACGAGAGCACTTTGAAGTTTTCTTTTGCTTGTGCCAAAAATATTTTGGAGTCTTCTTTCGCTTGTATCATAATCTCTTGAAGTCTTTTTTCGCTTGTGCTAGAAATACCTTGAAGTTTTTTTTTGCTTGTACTATAAATCCTCTGAAGTTTTTTTTTGCTAGTACTATAAATCCCTGAGTTTTTCTTCGCTTGTACAATAAATTTTTTGGTCTTCTTTCGCTTGTCCAGAATTACTTTCGCTTGTACTAGAAATTTATTTGAGAGTCTGTTTGGTTTGTACAACAAAATAACTTTGTCTCGTAGAAAATAGTAATAAAAAGAAGTGATTTGCTTGTTAATTAAAGAGCTGAAAAAAGTAAGCGTAATGAAAAATCATTCAATTCACCACACGATGACACTGCCTAACTCTACGATACAAAAGTTAGTGAGGTGCCTTCTTGACTTAATAGTTGCATATTAAAATGATTTTAACTTATTTTTTTTTTTTTTAATTTTCACCAAGTAATTCTTTCATGAACCTTGAAGCTGATTTCAATTTGGCGCAAAATCAAATTTTTAGAAGGTTAGTGAAGAAACTGTGACTAGGTGTTAAAAATAACTTCTAACCGGATTACTCTTTTTTTTTGTCCCCAAGTGATCTCACGATAAACAATGAATATGAAATTGAACTTAATTTGCAGAACCAAAATTTCAGGTTAGTGAGGAAATTATAACTATATATTAAGGCGATTTTCAACTAATTTTTTTTTTTTAATGATTGCCAAGTAGCTTCATAACAGAACCTGAAACTGATCCCAATTTGATGCAGAACCTAAGTTTCTAAAGATTAGTATCTAGTTCATTAAATATTAATGCTTTTAACATTAGTTACAAGAAAGCAATAATTTGATATTTTATTTGCAATTATCAAATTGTAGTTCAGAAAATGAAATGTATGATTTGCTATTAGAGGTCCGCAAGCATCAAGCAATTATCAGTTTAACAAATGATGAGTCGCAAGAAGATATTGATAACCAGACTTTTAGTTTGGATAATGAAATAAAGTAGGTAATTTACTTATTTAGTGTTTCATTTACATGTGACGCATCATTAACTTTTTTTTAGTAGTTCACAAAATATCTCAGATAATGAAGAATCACATGAAAATCCCTTACGATTATATCGTGGCCTTAAATTTGATATATGGGATGAAGTAGAGAAATTTGTTAAATCGTATGCGAGATTTAAAGGATTTTCTTTTCAACGAAGTAGGAATAACCTTCATTCAGACAATTTAAGCGTTCATTGTCATACTTTTGAATGTTCTCAATTATGTGCATATAAAGCCAAAAAAGTAATTAACGTTACCAAGCAGCATGAACGTAATTCAGTAGCAATTAATTGTAAGTGGTACGTGAATTTTAATAGTCGTAAGGGTGCTACTGAAATAATTTGTATCTTTTTTTTTGACAAACACAAATACAAAATGAATCCCATGATTGTTCAAATAGTACCACATTTCCATAAATTGTCAAAGGAAATGTTAGAGGATATAGAGTTTTACATATGTTCTACAGAAGGTTTAGAAGCAAAAATACAATATAATCTTTTAAGTGCTAAGTACCCAAATAAGTATATAAACAAGAAAGACTTGTATAATGCTATTTAATGGTTTAGAATCCCTTTATGTGATAAATTAAAAACTGATGCTGCAGAAGCCTTGCAACAATTAATAGCTTTAAAGGCTGAAGATCCTGAATGGGTAGTTGTGCCCAATATTAAAGGTGACAGAAATAGATTGATGGTGCTTTTTTGGATATCCCTCTACAAGTTTTACTATGGACACAATTTTATGACATTGTAATAACTGATAATACTTGCAAGACCAATCGTTATGAAATGCCATTATATCTTTTTTTAATCATAGATAATAATACTCGTTTGTATATTATTGCATAGACATTATTGGAAGATGAAACGCAGGCTTCTTTTGAATGGTTATTATTCATCTTTTTTTTTTTTGTATTGTTTATTCTTCTTCTCTTTTTAATGTGGTATTCTTCTTTTTCTTTATATTTTCATTCTTTTTTGCATTACCATTATTTATTCTTCTTTTATCTAATAGCATTACAATTTTAGGATTTTAGAGCAGTTGAATATTGCGACAAATTGAATGATTCCCAAGACTATCTATACAGATGCAGACCCAGCCATGGGTACGGCTTTGCGATATATATGGCCAAACATATATCATTCTTACTGCATTTTTTATTTAAACAATAATTTCATCAAGAAACTAAGGCCTATTATAGAAAAAAGCTTTGACAAATATTTTAAGCTTTTTTATCATTCCTGTAATAGTTTATGTGAAATTGATTTTGAGCGTCGTTAGACGGGTTTGTTGAGTTTCTCAATTTATTCTCTAAGGTATCTAGATATGTACTCGAAATACTTTATTCTTCATGATATAGCTATGCATTTTGCTATACACAAACCCGGTTTACTGCCAGCATTCAAAGTACTCAATGTGTAGAAAGTATGAATACAATTATTAAAAAGGAAGTTTCACATAGTTCAACTTTGTTATATCTGGTTGATGCTATACAAAATCATTTAAATGAAGAAGTGCGATATGCATGAATAAATGAACAATAGAATATGAATTCATCTATAGGCCTGCCTCATGTTGCAACTAAATACTTTCCTGTTATCGATTTTTTAATTTGAGAATACTTGACTCTGCATATTCTCTCTCTCCAATGACAGCAACTTTCCAAATATTTCCTGTATGATGCTACTGAAATTTTTTACAACTGGGATCAGTGTCTACAAGAACCAGAAAATATTGTTGAGAATGGGTGTCTCAAAGATGATTATGAACGGCATCAAATAGATCTTAAGTCATTATTACAAATTTTAGAACATGATGATATTATACAAATTTGAATAGTAGCACCGCAAGAATTATTTCAAGATTACTTTACTAATCATATTATAATACTTGCGGATAGCACACATTTATGCACTTGCTTTACCTTAGTTAGCAAAAGAATCGTCTGCCACCACTTTATGAAAGTTTTAATGAAATCACATCTTGCTAGGTTTCATATTTCTTTGATATCCAGTCGCTGGTACAAGAATGACAAGATGAATGAAAATAAAGATCTAATTGCTTCTCTCCTGCCAATCAACTTATGTAAATCTAATC